CTCGCGTGTTTTCAAACCAAAACATGAATCAAATAAACTTACCACAAGGCGATCGATATGGAAATGAGCAAAGTTCTGGTTTGGTTCCAGGTCATATGAACCATGATAGTTACATGACATCGAATAGATCAAATTTTAGTTTTGGAAATCAAAATTTGCCGCGAACGACATATTTAAAACGTCTAAAGCAGATTCCATCTTTCAATGGTGATAACTACAAGGAGTTGAAAACGTTCATTACAAAGGCTGATACTTTATATCATTATGCAGCTAATCCAAGTGAAGAAGATGAATTTTTTGAGCAAATGATGTTCCAACTGGGCGAAGAGCCACGGAATTTGTTAATAAACATGAGTAATCCATCTTGGGAGGTAATCAAACAAAAGTTGATGAAGCATTATGCGTATTTGTCGAACAAAGAAATTTTGGCGAGTCAAATGGAAAACTTACGTCAAGAGAAAGGCGAATCATTGTCAAAATACGTTGAGCGTATAAGACAACTTCAGAAAGATAGAAATTCGACATACAGTTTTATGTCTGATGACTTGCGCAAAGAACATGACCGTATAGCTCGTCGAGCATTCATAAACGGTCTTGGAGACAGTAAATTGCGTAACATTATGACAATCAGAGGCTCAAGTTCTTTGGAAGACGCTATTACCCATGCTCTTGGAGCCGAAAGCGACTCTTTAAGTCAAATTCCGAGAGGAGAGCTATTCTGCAGGTTCTGTAGGGCATTAGGTCATCGAGAAACTGACTGCAGAAACAAAGATAGTGGTGACAAGAGTCTAAATCCATTAATTTCTGCGATACGCTCAATCACAAATCAAAATTATCAAAGAAATTTCAATCAAAATTCGAACTGGAATCGTAATGCGAATTGGAATCGCAATTCAAATTGGAACCGTAATACAAATTGGAATCGTAACTCGAACTGGAATAATAGTGGCATGAACCGTAACCAGCCAAGAAATAATAACAATGACTTTTGGCGTAATAGAAACAATGGCATGCAATCATATAATCGAAATTTTGGCAATAACGGACAGGGTTACAATAATGGTAATCGTAATTTCAATGGTGGCTATAATAATAGCAATCGCAATTTCAATAATAACAACAATGGTTTCCGAAACGGAAGCAATGACTCTCGAAATTTCAATGGTCAAAATAATCAGAATCGTAATGGTCAAAATAATCGTCAGTTCAATAGATCAAATAATTTCGCAGGCATCTTTAATCAAGAAGAACATGTGAATCATCTTCAGTATGAGCATGGTTCAGACAATCAAATTGAAGTATCGGAAAACTAAAAAGGATGAGATTGAACGGCCTGCAATCCTCATCCGAAACTTTAATT